CATCCCATTCCAGTCTATTATTGTCAACTTCGTCAATTATTTGTGACCATGTAAGGTCTATACCACTCGTGACTTGATATCGCGGCGGTGTGACACAGAGTGATTTCAAATTCAAACATCCCTCGCAGATTTTGAAAACATGCAATGTGGGCATTGTACAAAGCAGTTACCCTATCCAATCACTCGAGGTTTGTCCAGATAGACAATATATTGTCCATATTCAGCTGCCAATCAACACCGGCTCGCCCATCGTCTATGTGGACAAACCTCTCGTTTTTAGATAGCGTTACTATTACTAAATACACAAATCACAACAAAGGTATCACTATGCCAGTTCAAAATAGTGTGGCAAAATATATTCAAAGGTAATACAATGCAAAGATAGTGGATACACCAGTAAAGATGATGATATTCACCTCTCAGCACCAGTAATCCAACTCCCAATAAAGGCCTAGGGACAGAGTTGTTGTATCCGCAGGGGCGTAGGAACGGGGAGGGGGGCTTGGGTACTTTTTCGGGCTCAGGGAACATAAACAAACATCGAGGGTACATGAACCCATGCCCCCTCGTGACCAGTGAACAACTTATATTATACCCTGGATCAGGGGCGTAGGAACGGTTTTCAGAGCGGGATGTGTGTGTGTTATTTTATGAAAAGAACTGAAAATCAAAATGTACATCAACCCATGGGCCCTCGAAGGACCAGTGAACAACGTATTTATCTTACCGAACACCTTAATGTTAATTTTGAATTGTTTGAAGCACGGGTACAAATCTTTGTGTAACCATCGCTAGATTTTGCTGACAAGAAAAACAGATTTAGAGTTATCTCCCTTCCGTCGATTTGCATTCGCAAACATCGGTAATTTCCGTACATCATATACGTGTTTCAATGTAATTCGAGATAAATAATTACTACCACGAAGTACCAAATGAGTTGACAGCGGGGTACATTGAAATGTCACTCACTTGTAAGCGGGGTACATTGAAAATAATAGAAGAGCGCTCAGCCAATCAGAAAGCGACATTTATGTGTGAGGTAAGATAATGAATATTACGCTGGTCTTCTGGTAACCTGAGATGCAATGAGAGTCGAGAGGCAAGAGTTAGCTCCCTTATATACCACTAAGACAACCAGATCTTTCTATACTGATCTCTGCTCCAGAGGAGAATTGAAGAACATCCAGAACTCCAATATTGCAAGATAATTTATGTCTAAATATTGCTCAAGTCTAAATACATAGCACGCCATGTATAATAGTTGGAACACTGTATCACAATGAATAACACTGCCACATAACAATGCACACAAGATAGCGATGTCAGTCACATCTTTACAACTGAACCGCGTCAATTGTTTGTAGCTTTATTAAGAATAAAAACGAAAGATACAAGAAGGAATGGAAACTGGAAGGAGAATGCATGTGCACGCATCACTCACCATTTTATCATGTGTTTGCCGAGACTGAATACTACAGTTGTACGTCACTTCAAGGAACACAAATGCACCATGTCTCGTTTTAAGTGATCGGTATACCCGCCGTGATAGTCTGAGAAGCGGCAGACCAAGAGTCACCATTCCAAGTTCCGGGCTCTGGGTGTCGTCCGCTTGCAACATGAGAGACGGGGCCCAACTCCGTCACCACCCCTGCATGAGAGGCTCCATTCGGGTATTTCATCACCATCGACATGCTACTGCCACCGGAACTACTGACAAGAATCGTCTGCTGCAGGAACTAATTAGATCCAGAACGCACTCATTTACACCTGCACTGAGACGTTTGTATCGACGACAACATTTGCGATGGAGTAACACCGCACAGGCATGGACTTGCGAAATTGGCGACGAAATTGGCGACTCGAAACGTTCGTGCCTTAAGAATTCTTAACCTTGATCGTAGCCAATGTGTTAAGAATGGGTTTAAGAAGTTCGTTTGATAAGGGCCCTGGTTCTTTGATAAATCAGTATTTCTTCACCAATTCCGAGATTGATTGGAAAAAAGACTTGTGTCCACCTACACAAGGAGATCTCGCTTCTTGGCGACAAATCTGACAACAAAACGATCATCGACTACATTCTTAAGGGTCGCAGTTCCATTATGAATAGACAGTGGGAGTTGTTTGAACATGATAAGGCTACCGCTCACACACCTCGTGTCACTATTAACATACTTTATAACTGAAACAACATTGACTTCCCATGGTCTTCTAGATCTCAACCGGGTAGAGCATCTGTTGGTTGAGCTCGATTGAAGTGTACGTCAACATACACAAATACAATTGTACAATTTGCCAACGGGTGGCAGGAAGAACGGAGGAGTGTCCCAGGTGACAACCCGTACAATCAGTCGGTGCCAAGGAGGTGTAGAACGCTGATAACGGCACACGGTAGCCCTGATCAGGACGCCCTCAACGTGGACGTACGTACATATGGATGGACTCCAGCATTGCCTGTCTACGCACCATGCTACGTTTTGTCCGTGTGTCAGTCAAGATAATGCAACGTTTACATAATTAGTTTTACTTTCATTTTTAAAGTTTGAGTGTGTGTGGGTGGGTCTGTCTGTGTGTGTGTGTTTTTGTGTGTGTGTTTGTTGCAGTCTTACTGTAAATTGTCGCACTTTTCAGTCTCTTCACTAATTATAGCAATTATTTCGTGTTTTATAGAACAGTCAGTATATCGCACAGAAAAGCTTCACTAAGGCCTTTAGGGCCTGAGTTCTCGTTTTCAGTTTAAGAGCAGAAAACGCTTAACTCATACTGGGCCAGACATGTCTGACTGACTGCCTAGGCCTGAGTTCTCAGTTTTCAGTTTGGGGAAACCCAGGCCTTCGGCGTGACGAGCAAACGCTTTAACCACTAGGCTACCCCACCGCCCCTCCAGAGCATGTAGTTCATCCACAATGGTTCATAAAACATTTTATTAGTTTACCGGAAAAGGCAGGAAGAAATAATGAAAAAATTGCTGAAAGTTGTTAAATAACGTGCGCTTGCTGTCAGACTGCATCCATCTTTCCACACGCCTACCTGCGCCAGACACGTGAAGATCCGGGTTAGAATTAATAAATCATCAGCAACCCATGCTTGTCGTAAGAGGCGCCTAACGGGATCGGGTGGTCAGGCTCGCTGACTTGGTTGACACATGGCATTATATCCCAGTTGCGTAGATCGATGCTCATGCTGTTGATCACTGGATTGTCTAGTCCAGAATTATTTGCAGACCGCCGACAGTGGCGTAGCTACAGAGGATGGCCATATTATTACGTACAAACATGGCGGACCAATAGTTGACGACAAATTTACGCGGGAGTTCAAAGTGTCATAACTCGTTAATTATAAACAGTCTTACCTCAATATTTTGTGATGTGTCCCTTGTTCCTTATTATTTTCAACATCCTCCTTGGAATCGATGAATAAAGATTTCTGATGAAATCGAGGGGAATATTTTCCGAAATGTCCCGCACTTCGCGTTCCAAGTCGGCAGCCGAATGAATGTTTCTTCGGCGTCCCTGAAGTCTATTCTTCAGGTAGAGCCAACAGTTCTCAATAATATTTGCGTGTAGACTCTGTGCAGGCCACAACATTCCAGTAATGTCATTTTGTCGCTTGTTATCCTGAACGACATAGGCCCGATGTACAGGGGCGTTGTCATCTTGGAAGATGTACCGGTTTCCCGGAAAATGTCTGGCTATAACGGGCCAAAGCATATCATCGAGGATTTCTGTGTATTTCTGAGCATTTATGTTGCCATTAACAACACAAATGGTACCAACACCATGCCAGGTGATACAACCTCACACCATCGAACTGACGCGTGGCTGTCGTCCCGGACAAAGACATTGCGGGAGGTATTCTTCACCGGGCTGTCTCCAAACGAAAACACGATTGTTTTCCCCAATGCTAATTTTACACTCGTCAGAGAAGATCACGCGATTCCAGTAAGTAATCACTGTACGATATCGTTGCCCCCTTGCCCAGGCCAAACGATTTCTGACATTATAGTCACGAATTCGGATTTTCTTTCTATGAACTTTATTTTCATATAATCGTCTCTTTACAGTCCTCACCGATACACGTGTAGCCCTATTGTTGTTCAAATTCTCAGTCTTTTCACCCAAACGTGAAATCCTGTTGTCTCTGACCAACCTCAAAAGTTGTCGATTGTCCCGAGGAGTCAGTTTTATCATACGGCCTGTTATGGGAGCATTCTCGTCTGATCCACGTTGATTAAATTAAACCGCTTTACCACCGAATATACGCTGCTTCGAGGCATTCCAAAGAATCTTGCAATGTTAGAACATTTTTCGCCACTTTGAAACTAATTTACAATTAATTTCTTAAGTGGCTCCAACAAATTATCCGATTTCCCCATGGTTGCCGGAAATAGCCAGAATATGTAGCAGACGACAAATAGCATTCGTCACCACTCGTCCCTTTCCGTAAACTCCAAAAAGATATTATTCGGCTTATCCCGGAATAACACGAGTGGGCTACGAATGCACAAATAAATTAAAATAAAGTCACGTGGCAGACACGTGACATCATGGTCGATCATGTGACAAAATATTACGTCGTTTTTTTAGAAGAAGTATTTTAAAAACGGGCATCGCTATACACGATATCAACGCCATTACAATTGTACGTAATAATATGGCCACACGCTGAACCATTATAAAAAAACGCCCGGGCTTACACATGACTGTTGCTAATAAGGTTGGGCAACCCCCTAGTAATATCTAAATACAAAGCTTGCAACATATAGGGCTTACACGAAACAAATTGGCTTACTTTGCGCCTGGCCGCCTTATAGCTGGAATATTGCTGAGTGGGTCGTAAAACTAAACTCACTCACTCAGTCACTCGCTACTTGCGCCAACTTGGCGATATGCGAGATGGGGCCCAGCTTAGCGGTACTGTTGGTAAACGTATCGGCGTTCCATTGTTCCATGACGTCATTTCTACTGTGCTTGTGACGTCATCAGAATGACGTCACACTGAACTGTCATGTGAGCCTAGTAGGCGGTACACATGGAAGGAAATGGCGTCGGTTGAGCTTGAGAAGGGATTGATCGACAATGTGGTATACGAAGACGGGGAGGAGAAGGAGAATAGGGGAAACAAGGATATCAAAGACAGCCCAACCGCCTGGATACTCTGTGTATGCGCTGTGTTTGACCAATTGTTTATCAATGGTTTGATAAACATTTACGGTGTGTTTTACGTGAAGTTTGTAGAGGAATTTGGAACCACCAAAGCCAAAGCAGGTAATCTGGCTGAATACCTCTTAGTTTGTACTTTGCTGGTCGCTATTGTGATACGCCACCCATCAGCATCACCAAAACTAGATATTTGTCAAGAAAAATTACTTATTCATAATACATATCGACATCATAAATTCGCTGAAAAACGGAGAAACCATTACGAAGGAATATACTCGCGAACATCCCTAAATATAATGTCGGAAGGTACTCGGTGTCCTACAATCTAGCCCGACCCTTGTTATTGTAGGTGGAGAGGTTACCGCCAAATCTACGGTAATACCTTGGATCTTCATTTAAATAGTGGCGAACATATTCTATTGCAGCTTTCTGCATTGTTAGAAGGTACATTTCTTGTTTAAATCGGTCACGTATATTCCTTATGCTGCAAAGAAGTGTCTGTAAATGAAAATTACGCACATCAGTAATGACAGAACAGTCTCCCTGTCTTCTTAACCTGAAATACTCGTTGTTCGCTTGTTTTATACAGCGTACAATGTATACCTTCAGGAAATCAAACATTATACTTAGGTAGAAGCTAATCTATGCTGAGAAAATGTATGTGGTAACAGAGATGTGTGAAATCTAAGGTGTACGGTGTTTCAAGATAACGTTGGATAAGAAATAGCAACGGTTTTTAGAATGAAGTCAGTGGAAGCGGGTGTAAAATATATAAGGAATGCCGACATCAGGATATACATAAACTCGGTGCTTACTCCCAGTTGGAACTTCATGACAGACCACCTGCTTACAATGAAATGTTTGAAATCGACCAACAAACACTTTTCATATACGGTAAAGGCTGGGATTCCTTAGAGACGATACATAAATACACCTCCAGCAAGACAAATTATTATTTGTCGGTAATTGATTATGTTCCATTTTCATAAAAATACAAGGAATACCTTTGCTTTCCCCTCACTACGACAGGCCCTGGTTAAAACCACACTATTCGTTGGCAACGTCAATAAAAAGTTCAAAGAGCATCACAAGACTCAAAGTCACTAAAGAAAGCTCTTAGTTTAGGGTTACAGCATGCATGGCCTTAGAAAAGCCCCTACGTTTGCATGTGGAGAATGTTTTCAAACATGACGACTTGGCATCTAACCGGTACGATATATTATTTAGACTTGTACCCCATGTATTGTTCGGGAGAACGCTTGACGTGTCTTTGCATGTGTTTGTGACGGTAGCACTAGAGGGACAGGATACGTCTTCACGAAGTCCTGGTATTATTAATATCTTGTGATTCATAAACGCGTACTATCGACGAAGTCGCAATCCTAAAATAAACTCTGCTTTAAGAACAGACTTATGATATGAAACATGTATATATGGAATTGTGACAACTTTTACTTTGGCCTTAACTTTCACGGAAATCTCTAAAATGTCGCCACCACCAGTCCAACTTCCCAAATGTGACAGGCAGCTACAAATATGCTGGGCGTATTAACTCGCAAGCAACTGAACGTCGTGTTTACAAACGGGCGATGACTGTAATTAAATATTTTCTAATTGTTTATTCAGGATTCTAGAAGTTGGTGAGTCATTTATGAAGCATACAACTAAGACTTATAGCTTGATCAGGGTGTAAGAATCTACATAGAAACGTCGCCCTATGCAATAAACAAGAAGTTGCTATCCATAGAGTTGTATGCTTCATTATTAAATATTTTCTCTGTTTACTAGTTTGAATTTCATTTCAAGTATAACGGTTATTCATATAAAAAACAGACGGGGGATGTTAGGTTGTCATATGAACTATACAGTGTATGCAGATATTAATTAGTTACTTTTAGTTAATTAATGAGTAAGTAGTCTGGATCATGAAAGTATTTTGCTGTGAGAGGGAGACGTGAATTTTCATGTCCCGGTAATACATTCCCGGTGTGCACAAACGTACTTTTACACCACACAAATGAAGACTAACAAAACATAATGTCGCCAAAATCGTCACATCCAAAAAGCTACAGTTTCGCCTGCATTACAGCATTACAACAAATAAAGGGTGTCGGACGTAGTTAACTGCTTCGAAGGGATAAAGTTGGACGCTAAATTACGTCCACGAACACACCTATGCGTGAGCGTCTGTGAGTTAGTTAGGAGGTTATAACTGCTCTGCTTAACTATTTGTCTCCGTTACTTCTCCATCGTTTATGTGACGATTATGAATGAGATCCGTTTTTATCTGATTGCAATTTGTGTCAAATGGTGCTTCAAACAAAGGGACGTAACACTAGCCAGCGAAATTAGATACCTCAGACCACAAATAACTTCACGTTACAGTCTAAGTTACTACTTGCGCTTATACTTGATCCCATGCCAGTAGAGGGGCGGTGGGGTAGCCTCATGGTTAAAGCGTCGGCTCGTCACGCTGACGATCCGGGTTCGAATCCCCACATGGGCACAATTTGTGAAGCCCATTTATGGTCTCCCCCCGCCGTGATATTGCTGGAATATTGCTAAAAGCGGCGTAAAACCCAACTCACTCACTCACTCACCATGCCAGTAGAATGTTATGTGTGTGTTGCAGCTTGGTTGGGTTCGCTGACGTATGGGATGATGAAGTTGTTTGCGCCAGTCGTCAGCATCCTTGTGCGCCGATACACAAACCGGATGTCAATGATCACCGGATGTGCCTTCTGCGCCGTCTCTGTATTTTCCACTTCCTTCGTGACCAACATCGATGTGATGTTTGTAACCTTTCCCTTCCTCTACGGCATTGGATTCAGCCTTGTTATCAACCCTGTCATGGTGATAGCTAACGGGTAAGTCAGAATGATGGAAACAGTCGGCAACGTATTCGTATTTCAGGTTACGTTATCAAATATGTTTGGTTCTATATGTCATGTCAGATATGTTTGGGACTGTTACGGTCAAAAGAATAATTGGGATATTTCTGAGGGCAGTTTTAACCAAAAAAAACAACCATCACGCCTTATGACATGACTTATTAAAGAGACAGTTAAGCTAAATTATATAAATGAAATGATTATACTCGTCCTAAACCTAGAGGCTGGATTATGTTCGGTATAGTCAGCCGCAGTGACCAAAAGCTTTCCTTCGTAAATATTTTGGTTATAATTGGGTCTTTAGCAAACCATGGATTAACTGCAACGAGAGGTCAGGCTCGCTGATTTTGTTGATGCATGGTATCGTAGCCCATTTTCGTAGATCGATGGTCGTGATGTCAATCACTGGATTGTCTAGTCATTTAAAAACCACAGTTATGTAGCTGGAGTTATGCTTTGTCTGACGTTAAACATCCATCAAACACTTAGAACTATGGAATTATTGAATCTTCTGTCTGTTCCACAGCTACTTCGACAAATACCTTGGTCTCGCTACTGGTTTGGTTTGTGCTGGTAGCAGTCTGGGGACCATTACCCTGGCGCCGGTCTGCCAGCGACTGGTTGACACTGTCGGCTGGAGAATGACCTTCAGGTATATGACCGGAGCCTACATCGCTCTCTGCTTCCTCAACCTCCTCATCAAGCCGCTCCCCCGGGGGTCGCAGCGTCCGATAGACAACATAAGTCAGCCTGTGATCCGGGGACTTATTGAAGACCTGAAGCTGTGGAAGAATCGCGTGTTCGTGTTGTGGGCTGTGGCAACGGCGTTCGTAATGTTTGGGTACTTCATACCTAACGTGCATCTAGTAAGTGACAGTGTACCATAGCTACCTCATGTTTCATTCAAACATGTTCACCTGCACCTTAAAGCCGAAAACGATGGATTCGCTTCATTCACGTTCAGCGCCCATAGCACATACAAAAGCACAACATATACAAGGTCCTATACAATAATGATTAAGTCCAAGAGGTAAGTTGCAGAGGTCAGCCTTGTAGATGGTGAGCTTTAGTGTTGAAGTAGCAGGGGTTGCTTTATCCCGAGTTCTTCCCGATTAAGGACACCGCAACCTTTCACGAGAGTGGCCTTTATAATACACAGCTACCTTCGTCACTGACTAAGCTGACAGGCTGCGATAGATACTTGAGCGGTATGTACTCTGTCAGTTCATTTGCTGTTCTACTTATTTCACACATTGTCAAAACATTGACAGAAACATATAGCTATAGTAAACAACAGGACATTTTCTTTATCAGTTGATGGAGTCTTTACCTGTTCTTCTGATCTTTCAGGTATCTTATGCCATGAGTCAGGGTATATCAGCCGATACTGCAGCCTACCTCCTCATGGCGCTAGGGTGCGCCACCACCATCGGTCGTATACTGTCTGGCAAGATTGTCCAATATGGCTTCCTGAACCGCCTCCATCTCCACCAACTTACAATGATCATCACGGGCACGGCGTTCATGATCCTACCCAGTATTGAATCGTTTGCTGGTCTCCTGGCATACTCCATCGTCCTGGGGCTCGTGGACGGGTGCTACGTAGTGCTGCTGCCTATACTGACGAGCTCCCTGATTGGAGCTGACAAAGCTGTTCTAGCCTGGTGCTTCATGTCCTGTGTCTGTTCCCTGACGTTTACACTGGGGCCGCCAGTGTCAGGTGAGGAGTGGCTGTTGTCAGCAATATATAACTATATAATGGTAATTTATAAATCGTTACATCTGTCCCAGGCAACATGTGATTCCTGAAAGACCAGAGAGACAAGATGTTTGGAATCATATGCACACAGCCTGTAACATTCCATAAGCATCATGTTCTTGTTTGAAACACGTGAAAGATGTCCATTTATAATATACAGAATAACGTACTCGAAACTCCAATGTTTGTTCCAGAATGAGAAATGTATGTCCCAATATGTTATTGATTTTTCATAATAACTATTTGTTTCCGAATTAACAGGTTTCCTCTGCGACATGACCGGCAACTACAACGTCGCCTTTCACATCGCTGGCATCCCAGTAATCCTTGGTGCTGCCATCTTATTCTTTGTGCCCTGGGCCCAGCGCACCTCCACCACGACCAATGTAATGCGGGTCATCAGCACAGAGGCTGAGGATCATCCAAGGGGATCTGCCGGAAGTTCAGCTTCAGGATCTTCTGATGAGACGATTCATCTCTCCATCCCAGAGACCGGAACAGTTCCTTATGCCGGCGTGCCGTGCTTCATAGATCCATACTATGGTTCGGCCAAACAGAATAGCCAAGCAGAGAACACGGGCAGAAAACAAGATGAGGCGAGGAAACATGTTGTTGGCGTTCATCCTACGGGTGGATCTGTTCCTGATAATTGCACATTTGAATTTGGTCACGATGCACATGAAGAGCAGTCCAATCCCATGCCACACAACTCAGCACCGACGTTCGATGCTTTAGGCAACTTAGGCCAGTCACAGGTACATGCATTTATCTACTAAATCCATCACGACAAGCTGACTTTTCTTAAAAGGATTAGTTATACATGAAGTGCCGATAATGCATTAGGAGCCGATGACACTACTTGCAAAGGAACTTGTTTCTTCACGGTAGCATTATGCTTTTTCATATAACTGAATTCATGTTATTTCAAATTTTGTTTAATAAGGTATTGAAAGACAAAAGTTCGTACATGTCAACTAAACTGTGTGTGCTTCGGGGGTTTGGTCGTTGTTAAGATGATAATATATTTTTTCCAGTTTATTTCCATCCCGAGACGGGGCTATCCTTTCATTGATGGCTACTTGGAGGAATTGCGTAAGGCAGTATACCGCACCCAAAACCTTCAGTGTTCCCAAGGACTGGTACCACCACCGTCCCCTGAAGCTAGCAACACCCAAACAACCCCGGTTGAGGTCCACATGAACTCGGTCTCTTCACTTCCCGTGTCATCGATGACGAGCTCCGTGGATCAACTCCTCCAGGAGCATATAGACATGTTCCTCGCCACCATCGCCTCCAGACGGGTATCAGACATGTCCATGTCTTCCGGTAAAAGTGGATCAGCCTCCAGGTCACTCAGGAGCAGTGAAGAAACTCCCAAAGCTTGTCACAGAACACTAAGCAACAGGTCCACCCAGAACCTTCCAACTCCAAACTGTGCTCTGGGTTTAGCTGGAGCTCAAAATGAGCCACGGACACGGTCTGTAAACTCAAGAGGCAGTTTGAACAGGACCGCAGATTTAAGCTTGAGTGGCACGCACTCCAGTGGCTTTGTACCTTCGGCAGTTCTGGCAGCCGGCGGTGCAGGTCAACAGGTGCCTGCAGAGTCTCAAAGTCGGACATCCGACGCGTCTGGAGATGGGATACAGAGCTCCAGTCGAAGCAGGCTTCGGAAAACATCTAGCACAAGTACAGGAACTGGACTGGAGTTGGACGTTTTTAGTCATCTTTTCAAAGATGAAGAAAATCAATGATATTATGATATTTTGCATCTACCACAGATGCTTTGTGGTATTGTGAGCGCTAAATACTTATTACTCGTAGTGGAAGGCAAGTGTCTTAGGGAGTATGAATCATGTTGATATGACGTTAAATCACCCAGAATGCACTTTGCTGAAGCTTATATAGTACAGTGTAGACTTGGATCGGAATCTTTTAGGAAAGCGCTGTCGAAAAGTCCACAGCTCAATGTAGTGGTAAGTCGAAATCATAGAGATAGGATAAACCCAGTCATGGTGGAGCAATTCGGTTGTCGGCGTCTGCCAAGGGAATACGAGTTATGTCCCTTTACATACGTAACAGTATCTTCACACAAGCAGGTTTGTCCTTCAAAGCACAATTTCAGTGTTAGGTTTACCATTATTCCCATACAAAAGCCTTTAATTCTAGTTTTCCACAAAGCATTGGGTTTTTTAAATTAGCGCTGAGACAAATGTAAATCCGGTTACTACATTTGAGTTGTTGCTTCATGGGACGGAGCCATAGATACAATATTGACACGGATTACCTTTAGATATTTCAATAAGACAAGCATGGGGTTGGGGAGACAGTCATTGTACGTGAGGCCAAGGTACTGTTGGCAATCTTTTAGCTTGTTTGGTCAGTAAATCTCATTATGACTACAGGTGGAACTGTATGTATTTTGTTAGGAACATACAACTATGTCTGGCAGTGAGAGAAAGTAATTTTTGTGACAAGAGTATTCCCGAAGATATCAAGCTTCCAAAAAACACACCATTGCATTCATGAAGCCTGCGACTTCTGAAAGAACGTGTGGTTTACCTTCTTTCACATACTCACTCAGATTTGGTTCAGATTGGTACATTTTCTTGCAACTAAACGCTCAAAGACGAATGGGAAGAGGGGCATCCCAAAACTTACTGCACGATATTTGAATTATAGGAGTCCGTGTTGTATGGAACGTCATCAGCAGGATAATCAGCATTTCGACGAATCGAGGTTCACTCACGACTTCCAAAACTGGGAGGTCCGATTTTTTAAGACGTCCAAATGAGCGTTGCATAGGCGTTTACATCGTAAAGCTGGATCTAGGATGATATAGAGAGAATACTACACGAGGTCTCATTACATACGAATTATACGAAACGAGTGTTCTTCCTATGGTATCTGACCGAGCGAAAGCGAGGTCAGAAACCATAGGAAGGTCAGAGTTTCGTATAATTCGTATGTAATGAGACCGAGTGTGGTATTTTATTAATACCCACGTCTTGCATGCATTACATTGACAAAATAGCGTATTTTTGTTATTGTTATGGTTTCAAACCGAAAGCGGTTTCATAAAGAGGTTGCGGAAGAATTTTGTTCTGTAGTACACTTTTGCATGACGTCACACTGTATTGACGTCACTACGCCATTGTCGTCTGTCCCCTTGGTAACCGACGTCACGATGCATGTCAGTTATCATCGCCTCTCGTACAGCCTCCTACAGTAAACTACTCCGTAGCACCCCGTTTCTTGGTGTGCAACTGCTTCACTCGGCTAACTTGACTTGACTGGTCGAAACATTGCGTTTATGTTTTTCGACGGATATAATGTCTCAGTTCAACTCACAATTAAACAGCGACACGGCAACGTTCGCAATGTTTACATTCCCACAATGCATATAAGTTGTAGAATGAATGAATTCACGTGTTTGTTAAGAATGAACAATTATTTCCGTCACAACGTGACCTAACTGAGAGCACACTCCCGCGCAGTGATGACTTAGCATAACATCACTGCCACAGGCTAATTTGCATATCACGTGACTGGACTTTTCTCTTGTTTGTAAACGAACGCGCATATTCATAATAAGTAGAGACTGACCTTACGCAAGCTTTTCGGCGCGCTCTTCACAATGTTTTACATTGTTACATGTATATTCTTCCACAACTGCGACAGTAACATTTATGACAGTAGATATAAAACTGGTTGCATCGTTTGCTCTCTGTTGGCTTCGATGACAGCACGTGGAGCCGTAGAACCTATGTAAACAAAGGATCGCTACCCAAATCGAAATAGTGTTACATGTTTTAGGATATTTTCTCAGTGAAACTAAACCATTCTATCAAAGATGTTTAATTAGATGTGTAGACTCGTCAAAAATAAAAGAGTTAATAAATATGTAGATTATATTGAATGGACGTTGCTAGATGACGCGAAGGGTCCATGCATATCTGGCCAACAAGGGAGGTTTTACATGATATATTTCGAATTTGATCCCGACTTCTTTAACTTATTATTGCGCCACCATCTCACCACAACAACTATTCTACCATGACATTTAAGTATGTATGCTAACGCGTCCGGTTTTAAATGACATTTAGCAACGTTCAACCAACTGTAATAACTTCTAAAATGTAAACACAATAGGATTATCTCCTAATTACAACCTATTAGATCTGAATGATCAAATCATTCAGCTTGCCAATGTGTGGATCAGATGTGGCACAGAATATATTATTTATTATTATTATTTATTATAGGATATTTATATAGCGCACATATCCACGCAACTAGTGCATGCTCAAGGCGATGTTATTTGTTTCCTCGATCATTGGATGTCAATCTCAACGGCACATCGTATTATCAATCTCAACTCCCAGGGGAGTATACAACTCTTGCAGCCACTAGGCGCACCGAGTTTTTGTGGCTTCTCATCCTAACGAGATATATGTATATATATAAGCTTGATTAATAATCTAGTTAAAGCGTTACCTTGAAGTAATAGACATTCGGAAACTATTTATAAAAACCAGAAATGTGAAAAAACATCATCTGAGAAAGAAATGAATGAGTTACATTACCGTGTGAATTATATTAAGGGTAGACACTACAGGTGAGAGGTAAATCCTACTGGGGTCCATGCAGATAGCAAAGGTACCCCATGGTCCCTAGTATGGTGATCTCCCTTTAGCTGCTGCTGAGCTATGGTATGTTTTTATGTTGTACTATTACATTTGATGATATATTTTATGGTTCCATACTATTTTTAAAACAACATGTGTGATTGTCTAGATATTTAACAGTCCTTTGATGACTGGCTTTTATAATAACAACATGTATTTACTGTATATGAAAAACCTTTATAGTCACGGTGTGGCTGAAGTACTGCCAATGTGATTTTATATTTTAACTCGCTCATTCACTCGCGAAAATGGTATCCAACCACGGATGTATGAAAAAAATGCAAACTCGCCAGTGCATGCCCTGAACTAATCCATACATTAACAGGGCCGAATTTCCAGCAAAGGCCAGAGTGCATTACCAAAAAGTACAGAATTACGGGCGCTGTTAATCACCTTACAATTTCCAGATCCCACTGATCTTAGTCCAGTTGGAGACACTGATTTCTTCCAGTGTAAAATGCCTGAGTGAGTGAGTGACTTTGGTTTCACGCCGATTAAGTATTTTCAAAATATTCCATGTGTTTCGCGGCGGCCGTGTATATAATCCACACGGACTGGGTCACACCAACCAGGAATCCCCAGTAGAATGAGAGAGTGCGTTTTCACGGCGCTTTTAGCAATATTCCAACAATATCACGGCGAGCGACTTCACTCATTGTCTCTTTATGGGGATCGGACCCGAGTCTTCGGCGTGACGAACGTTCGCTTCAACCATAAGTCTATCCCACCGCGCTGAAATCCCCAGTGGTATTTGCATGTTGCTTGTGAATTACTCAAGAGAGTAGAGAAGATTTATTCTCGTATTCTTATAGACTGCCCAATCAGTACACATACACTCGGCTTGGAGTGCTGGTAAAAAAGTCAACATACCGTACAATGAGATTTACGAGCTCTTCATTCAGGGCGACACCGCACGTATCGCGAGACGTCACGTCTGTACGTGATCTGGTCGTGCGAACGACAAGAGTCGATCGGTGGACGCAGGGAAAACTGACAAACAATTTACTCATCAAAGAGGCCGTTAGTACATGTGTTTTATTGGATGTGTACTTAAAGTCCCTTCAGTAGGGTCGAAAAGGAGAACTTGTTAGTTGGAAATACGCATATGAGACTGCACTGCATTGGAATTGTTTGTTCTTTCGTTAAGTCCCTCTAAGTCTTCTGGAGTTTACCGAGTACTGTTTCTTAAGAAGGCACTTTGCTGAAAGTAAACATTGCAGATTATGACAAGTTATAAGTTATGATTCGAAAACATCGTAGGTTTGAGTCCTACCTCAAGGAAGCAAACAAAATGCACGGTCATATTTCTGGTTAAATGTCACGACAATATATCGTTTACCCATTAAAGGTCATAATAATAAATTCGAAACAGATCGTATTTAATATCGACAGTCATTGCTGACATAAGTACAAACATATCCTCTGTCTTGACTTAAATCGGTTGACTGATAATTAAAATATATTTACATCAACTGGTTTTCCTCCAAAGTCAGTCGTCAGTAAAGACTGGTTGCGAGAAACCCGCCTAAAGATTCATGTCAAACACAATTCAACCTCAACTTATTGAGTGAGTGAGTGAGTTTAGTTTTACGCCGCCTTTAGCAATATTCCAGCAATATCACGGCGGGGGACATCGGAAATTGACTTCACACATTGTACCCATGTGGGGAATCGAACCCGGGTCTTCAGCGTGACGAGCGAACTCATTGAACAAGTTGAAACGCGGCCAGTTATGAAAAAAAGAAGTCCTCAACAGAAAGTAGCTGTTCCCGAGTTATGGAACATGTCAGTGTCAATATAACAGCTAGAGGCATTTTCCGAGTTAATCAGTCCCATGTTAATCTAACAGTTGTGTTGATCACACTCTTTCAACATATGAAGATGATGGAAATGACATTTCAGGCCATCGACTCCATAGTTACGAGAGGGGACTGAGAGGTTGTGAAACTTACCATGAAAGACTTGCGTTCATGTAGTTTTTTGCTTGTTAATTTTCAACATAAAAATAAATCCCCTCAGATGACAACATGACCGGATTCGTCGTTGCCGTCTGAACACCCACGGTAGGAATCACGGGTTAATCACCTGGGGGTTCCGTACCTGATGAATTCGGAGATCCAAGAAGCACGAACCCACACGAATACATTGCAGCCTTCACAACAGATGTGTGCACTAGTGAATTGTTCTGGTAAAACAGCACACCTTTAGCGACTATTCTGCACATTGCAGCCTTGACAAACAGATGTGTGCACTGGTGAATTGTTCTGGTAAAACAGCACACCTTTAGCGACTATTCTGCACATTGCAGCCTTGACAAACAGATGTGTGCAGTAGTGAATTGTTCTGGTAAAACAGCACACCTTTAGCGACTATTCTGCACATTGCAGCCTTGACAAACAGATGTGTGCACTGGTGAATTGTTCTGGTAAAACAGCACACCTTTAGCGACTATTCTGCACATTGCAGCCTTGACAAACAGATGTGTGCACTGATGCATCACTATTCAATCGTCGAACAACGCTGTGCGTCATGTGGCCCACAGCAGCCTTCACAAATAACATAACGTATTACCTTATAAATCTTTATGTACTGTTCAAATATTCGAGGTACATATAATATCTTAACCCTATGGCAGTGACTACTGCAGAAGAGCACCAGTCTCTTCTATCTCTTGAAACGGATATGCATATTCTCAAATGACATGGCACACTTCGGACAGCACAAGATTTGGTTAAAATTAGATGTCGATTTTATCCAGAAATATTACCCATAAGCAAGTCCGTGGCTG